AATGCGCCTTCCAAGACTCATCGCCCCAGCACGAGCGTATCTCTCGGTCTGTCTCGCTCCGCAACGACGGCTTCCAGAGCTTCTGTAGCTTCTGCTAGCTCGTCTACTGTGGGCGGACCTACAGCTGCTGCGGATAGAAGATCCGTTCCTCCTACCGCTAGAGCTGTACCTGCCCCGACTACTGCTGCGCCGCACGGATCGGGAGCCGCGGCTATATTGGCTGCTGCTGCTCAGGATTCCGAGCAGAGCGGAGCAAGCGGTAAGATGCTCTATGCGTACGATGCTAATGGAGACGATGAGGTCAGCGTGTCTGGTAAGTAAGCAAAATGCATCTAGTTCATCCGTCTTCTTGTGCTCACATCTCACCTGCGCCCACGATCTGATACGAAAACTTAGAGGACGAGGGAGTGATCATCTTGGCTGGCGACGACGGAGGTTGGTCAAGGGTACAGACAGCTTCTGGTTCGTCGGGTCTAGTGCCCACTTCATACGTCGATCAGAGCGCTGCCTTTACCGCACCTACCGCACCAGCGCCCATTCCAGCTCGACCACCTCCTACTTCCCGGGCGACAAAACCAGCACAGACACCACAAGTCAAACGAGTCACTGCGCTCTACGATTATGCGGCTCAAGGGAACGACGAGATCGACCTGACTGAAGGGGAACAGGTAGAATTGACGGGCAAAGGCTTGGCTTTTGGAGATGGATGGGCGCAGGGAAGAGATGCGAATGGCAGAGTCGGACTGTTCCCAGCTGGGTATGTTAGAGAAGATTAGATGCGGAGCTGCATGGCTTAGCTTTCCTTGCGCCTTACAATGCGATGCGTTACGTTACAGTAGTACAAGAAGCTTGCCTTGTCAATAGCTTGCGCAGGTGGAGCCAAACAGGCACACTCAATTTCGCCGGAGCCAATTTTCGGCTGCTGCTGTTTTCTCCGCAGTTCCTGCTTGTCGATCGGTATCGCTGAGGGTCAAATGCCTTGTGAGCGCCTCGAGACGAGCAATGGCTCGAGCGCGCATGGCATCGCTGTCTGAATCTTGCGTCTCCGAAGTGGCCTGCTTGAATGCTTGCGCGAGAAGAGGCGGTAGGCCATACACATCCTTTACGCCCAGACGAAAAAGCAAGCGAGCAAGTTTTCGTTAGCGAAAGGGTTGGAAGATGCAGAATCCGCGCAAGCTGAATGGCTGGAGGATAGACTCACATCTACATACGTCCCTCTTCCGATACACGTCAAAACATGTCCTGCTACCTGCTTGCCTCTCTCCACACTGCCTTCGCCGCCTCTTAGCGCATCACTGCTACTCGCTTCCGTGACCTGTCTCGCTCTCTCTGCCTCCACCGGTCCATCCCAAACGGCCCTCAGAGCATCTTCCGGATTCAAGGCGTACGCACCCGTCCTTGATCTCTCATCGTCTCGCGGCGGCGCAACACTCTCGGCCGCTCTGGAGCCCAGGGCATTTTGAGAAGCATCAGCTTCCGAAGTGAGGGGAGGAAGGTGAGGCAATTGATCATCTTGAGCTGCTGCTATTTGCCGATGCAGCTCTAGCTGCTCCAATGTCAGCTCGCCCGGTCGAGAAGGAGTGGGCGGACGCCATGTATCTGTCAAGCCTGCTGGGAGAGCTTGAACGCCGTGAGCGGGAGGCACGAATGGTGCGACTGCCGCTTGTGGTGCTTCTAGCGCCTCGTCTGTAGCTAAAGCATCCATAAAGTCCAAGCTCGGATCTGCCGCGAATGGTCCTTCCATCTGCTGGCTCGGCACGGAAGACCTATCCCACGTCCTCTGTAGCGAGCTTTCGTTCGCAAGGTTCCGCGATGTGCTCGAGTGGGAGTAGATGGAAGAGAGCCAGGCTGAATCCATCATGGAAGCTTTGGAAGCTGTGCGCACCGAATCGTGAAGAGCGGGATCCAGCGCTTCGGCATGAGCATAGGGACCGACAAGCAGTTCGGGCGAACGGAGCAGTCGACGACCTTCCTCTGCATCTTGACGCGCTTCATCGCGAGCCTGAGCCTGAGCCTGAGCCTGCGCTTGCGCTTCATCTGGAGCTTTGCCGTGCACAAAGGTGCTCATTGCATGCTCGGTCGTGTGCGCTGGCGCTGTGGATGAGCCGGACGGACCTGCGGATCTGAACGTGGCTGATCCAGGGACGTAGCCTGCCGTGTTTGAACCCCCAACAGCAGCCGTTGCTGCTG